TGGGCTGAACACAGACGGCCGTGGCAGCTACGTCTGCGGCAGCTGGCTTTGCCTCCTTCTTCATAGCGAGCTCTTTGCGATACTCCTCAGCAACACGAGCGCGTTCTTTGGGAGAGGCAAGTTTCCACATATCTGATGGAATACCAGGTGGACGACTTGACTTTCGGGCTCTCACCAAACGAAAACCATCCCATTGAAACCCAGGTGGAACTGCCAACCCATCCGGCATGTGATCAGGATCATGATCAGCAAGTCCCTCGGCAGGTGCAGGAGGATCTTCCATCAAAACCTCCTCCGGCACAGCTGCTTCGCCAGGCTGCAAATGTGACTCCGGCTCATATTCCAATTCGTCCGGAGAACACGGTTTGTCGTCGGCAATAGCTTGCTTTGCGGGAAAAACAAACGTCTCATCAAGCAGACTGAACTCATACTGCTTGACGCGGAGGGGATTAATGTCACCCGTCCGCAACTTGTCCGGCAAATTCTTGAGCGGCAATACCAAAATTTCATGCGTGTAGGTAAAGCCAGGTTCCACATGATAGCCAACAAAAATGCCGACATCCGAAGTTGGAAGAAACTTGGACTGCTTCGAATCGACGCGCTGACAATTGATCCAATACGACAATTTTGCACCAAATGGAATCTTCGTGTCAGGAAACTCATCACCAAAACGCAAAGCCCACGGCGACTTGTCCTTGTCATCTGGAATTGTAACATTGAGAGCAAATGCATGATGTTGAGCTGCCAAAGGCCAAAGCTCAACCGGCAAACCGCTTTGAAACAGATTTGCCCTTGCTCCCTCCAGAATTGTACGGATCTCGCGCTCGATCACCCCGGAAGATTGACTGACATATGGCTGGCTCAGCACGTGTCTCCAACCCATACTCCAAAGCATTCCACTCGCCCTTGAACCCGTACGTTTCATCATTTGAAATGACGTGGTCAGCAGTCACATGATCTCCAAATGCTTTTGCATCCACTGAAGAAGATCCATGTCTGCGACGAGCTTGAGGCGCTTGCATCTTTGATCGCACACATGTTTCGCAAAAGGGGTTCTTGGGCCTGTGAGTGAAAAGATGCTCTTCACTTTTGGCCTCACGCATCATCATTTCTTTTGAACGCTTTGACATCCGTTTTGGAGCTTCCGCAACCTCAGGGTTGTCCTCCAATTCCGGATCAAACTCCGGTTCCGGCGGTTCAGCTTCATCAGGGCGCAATGGAAACGATGCGGCATCCGGCGGAGGTCGCCCCCCGCTTGAAGATGAAGGCGGAAGGCACTTCAACGCCCCCGATCTTCTGATCGGATGCAGCAAGCGCAACAGGCATAGCAGATTCAGAAGCTATGACCTCGCACTGATCGTCAACATACGGAACTCGCCCATCGAGCTTCAATATTACCGCCTTGCCATCAGGTCGCACAAAGTACGGAGCACTGTTCTTCCTCCATACGAAGTCGTACCCCTTTTCCAAACATCTTTGACCAACAGAAAGGACAGCTGGCGTGCTCGGCAAAACATACGGAGTGACGACCTTGTTCAACTGATCAATGGAGAAGTCCGCAATCTTGTCTGCATAAATTGATCCATTTGCTGTTGAAAGATTGGAGTCAACGCAGGATTTATCCTCTTTTGAAGTGTAACTGCACGCTCAGCGTCAACCAGATCTTGTTCACTACCTGTGTCGACAATCCACTGACGAAGCCCTGCTGGTGCTGGCGTAGCAATTTACTCCGGCACATCGTCAAGGTTCGTTTCATCATCATCAATCCAACAGCCAGGACAATACAAACCGCAATACACTGGGTCATTGTCATCATAGTATTCGCAATAGAACCCACAAGGCGCGTTGTAGTTTGCATGCATCAACTCAACAACCCCCTCCAGAATCAAAGCTTTGTCTTTAGCATCGATCAAATCCTTGGGATTTGAGCCAGGCGCACAACCATCATACCACACAACCTCAGGGTCATTCGGCTTTGGAGCACATGATAGGCAAAGCCCGTTGGCCTCGATCTCGACGATCTTGACATTGTCTGCGAATTTGACGCATCTGCGGGTATTGGAAACATCTGTACTGCAAATGAAAATTGTTTGCCCAGTCCAGTATTGCTCCAAACCTTCATCAGGATCCGCCCAGAAATCACCAAACACTTGCTCTTTGCCATTGATGTTGGCTTTGGTGATGCGCTGATCCAATAAACATTCCAGCGAAATTGGAAGGTCTTTTGCACTCTTCGGATCATAAAGCGCTTTTCGGGGCATCACACGGTGTCGAATGACCATCTCGTTCACCGAGTCAACTTCCCAGAAATCTTGCTTTAGGCGGCATGCACACAGCGGCTGAGGACTCACCCTTTTTGCTCTGGGATCGCTTTCTCCCTTTTCCCTTTGGGGTGGGAGACCTACCTCTGCTGGCTCCTTTCTTTGGGCTCGGCTTATCTGTTGCTGGTGCAGCAGACCGAGTCTCATGCGAAAACGCACAGTTGTCTCCGCGAGTGCATTTCCCCTGACCGCCTTTGAAAAACCTGCACGGGATCTTTTTCAGCTCCGCTCTCTTTCTCGATGCCGACCGATCCCTGTCTCTCCCCTGGCTGTCAGAGCGCTCCCGACCTTTTCCTTTCGGATTTTGGCTCGGGGGTCTTGAGTCTTTCTCATGCTTGTAAATGCAATTATCCCGAGTGCACTTGCCTTTCTGAAAATCGTAGCAATACTTGACCGCTGAAGGATCTCTTGCACGCCCAGGATTTGCATTGGGAGCTGGAGCACCGACCTTCTGATTGTGAGCTCGAGCAACACGATCACGATTTGATTGCAATCGCTCCCGAGTCAAAACATCACGAACGGCTTGAACAAGAAACTCGTAGCTCTTGTTATACGACCCATCTTTTGCACGCTCGTATGTATCGAGGTCATACTTGATCTTGTGACATCCACGAATCTGTCGCAAGAAGATGTCCTTCAAGACGTGCTGCTCCGGAACGATCTTCATGCCAGCAATGACGGAATCCCAATTCTGAATAAAGGTCATCAAATCATTGCCATGAAGTACCACCTTCAACAAATCTTCAGTGGAATACAACGCTCCGGCCTCCTCATTCGTTCTGAAATACTGCTCAAACATGAGAAGAACTTGACGTCCACGGACAAGTTTGTCCAAAGCGGCTTGTTGCTCCTTGTACGTAAGGATCTGCCGACTAAGGTCGCCCCTAGCAATCCGCGACAAGGCTGCAAGAAGCTTTGTGTCCAACGTTTCAAACTGCTCTGGATCTCCAAGCTCTAGCATGAGATTCTTCTTGTCCTCCCTGTTGACGTACACCTTGTTAACCCAGGTGAATGCAGCGTCAGGCCGATCCGAAGCAGCCCGAATCTCTTCGCGAGTAGCCGTTTTCCAGGCTCTGTAGGTCTCAGGAGTTGGAAACTCACTCAGCCTCAACGAATCAGCTTCCTTTGCTTTTGGCCGATCATGCTGATTCCGGACAAAGCCGAGGAGGGCCGCACGGAACTCCGCCTCGGTGGTCTCGGGACCAGTCAACCGATCAATGTTCGGCTACCGTCTCGCATGATCTTTGATATCAAACTGCATTGCACCAGAGATAGGATCAGTCCAACTCTGCTGTGGAATAATCTGAGGCATAGGTCCAGAAGTTTGTGCATTCTGCGTTGGAAAAAGACGCGGATCATCAAAGATACTGCCCCTCTTATCCAAAAACGACTCTGAACTGACGTTCTGAAAACTTGACGCAGGTTGAGGATCTCTGCGCACCATCTCAGGCTGCGCCTTTTCGAGATCATTCCTCAGACGCTCAACGGTGTCGTTCAGCCCGTTGATCGTGTCCTGCGTGGCGTGATTCTCCGCCAAAATACTGTCTCTCCTCACCGACCGCCTTCTCCGAGTTCTCCATCACAACATTCTTAGCATGTAAGCTTTGTGCAAAAGCGCTGTGCCGTTCTTTGCGACACAGCTTCGTTCACTTCGGCAGAAATTGCTCCCCGCATCTGACTAACCTGGGCGCTGAAGAAAGCGCGGGACTCTGCGAACTGCTCGTGCAGCTCAAGGGTCCGGCGATTGTTCTCCTCGTCCAGGCGATGCACAGTTTCTGCCAAATGAGCGCTATATTCCGCCCTTGCAGCATCCATAGCAACGCGATGTAACGTGTTGGCCTCTTCCCTAACAGCGTCACCCGTGTCGTTATGCACATGCATGATGTTCTGGGTGGCTTGGTGGTTTGTCGCGAACCCAAATACATTTCGAGGATCGCGAGGGTCAACAGGACCATTGGACGCAACTGCACCTTCACTACCGTCACCAACATCTCCAGATATATTGCAAATGGCAGGCATATCTCCGGATGCCATGGCGATCTTTGTACAAGCCTTTACGGCTGATAACCTGTGTTATCAAGCCTAGGCCACCTAAGGGAATACCTAGGCAAGCAGCAAACCGTTGACTACCTTTTCACACTGCTGTCAGTGATCTTGAAGTCTGTAGCGGCGGAGCATGTACAAGTACACTCATGCACAGGGTTGGAACCTGAATCCACAAGCTGTGAGACATACTTCACCCTCTTGTTTCGCAGGCCACGAGTTTGCTGGTCATGCAGGACTTCACTGGTCGTTCTTGTATTTCAACAACATTCCTCACACTCTGGTTATGGCAACATCTAACTTGGCTTCCAATATCGGTTTCCTCCAGGCCCTAAGATGGGCGTCGGTTCCCCTTCGGCACAAACCCGCGCCCACCATGGAAGCCAAAAGCTCACTACCAATCGGGAACACGCCTTGCACCAAAGATTCGAAAGCAGGCAGTTTGTGGGAAGTGAGTTTCCCTTGAACCCAAACCAAAGCGTTTACCCACGAACCCCTCCCCCCCCCAAAAAAAAAAACTGGAGGAACCCAAACAAAAGCGTTCACCAACGACCCCCCAAACGAAACACTGGAGGCCTTCCCGTCTCGCGGCTCCGGCTCTCGCGGCTCCGGCTCTCGCGGCTCTCGGTCTCGCGCCTGGCCCGCCATGCTCGCGGCCAGGTCTTCCTCCTCGGCCTCCAGCGCAAGCCTCGGGAAGGCGAAGGGCCATGTGGCTGTGGCTTAAAAGTTACACCAGGGCGCAGGTGTTAGTCCATGGGCAGCCATTTACCGTTTCGGGTACATATTTTTGACCCACTGCCATGTGGCTGATTGGGGTCAAGCTCTCAAATACCCTCAGGTGGGTCCACGGGACGCCAGGAAAACCACCTGGCCCTTTCAAAAAAATGGGGTACCCCCCATTTGGACGTGGACCTCTGGTATGATTGCTTAGGCGGGCTTCTGCTTGGGAGGAAAAATGGAAAACAACGATTCGGAGGACCCAGAACATGTCGAGTGTCAAATGAGGGGGTTGAGTTGCGCAACACTGCAACTGGCCAGACACGCGAACAGCTTTCTACTCACTTGTGTCGGTCTTTCGATTCGCTGAACCACAAGCTTAGTTGGGTTGCACTCTTGAGGCATATGGTCGGCACCTAACAAACTTGAGCCCAAGTTGCTCGATTCTGAGGTCAATACTGCGAAGAAAATCCTTGTCGAATTCAGTGACCCTAGGGGGCCCTGTCCAAGGCACCCAGCGAGATTCGAAGCAACCATTAGCCAAGTTGCAAGAATCCCAAGTGGAGGGCCTTGCTCTTCAGCGCTGGACTGCCAGCCAGCTCTTCATCGATCAGCTCCTCACGCCAGTAGTTTCCAGCGGGCAACGGTCGGTCGCTGAGCGCTGACGGTTGACGAACCCATCTTCTTACAGTATGTGGGTATGAGTCAAAACTAAACCACTAGGGGACCGCAGGTTTTAGGCCTTGGTTCCATTTACCTGGCCCCATTTGGGGTACCTATTCTTGACCACGGGCCATGTCCACATTCAGGAAACGGCCATGGCGCGCATGTTCGTGTTGTCGGTTGTGTTCTGAGATCCCGAAGACTCCCCAACTGGAGCAGACATCATCCAAACCTCCCCAAACATTGCCCGAGCATTGTCTTGCCAAGCCAGAACGGAAATGTGTGAGTTTGCTTCCCAACTGGGTGGGAAGGGTTTCCCATGACAAGGGGACACGCCCATGAACAGGGTTTGGTTACAAGAAAGTCTAAAGTAAATGGCCCCAAAACACCCTGAACAAGCTGCTTTCCTGTAGAACTTCCTGCAAGCGATTTGAACCCTTGACAAAGGGGGAAAAGAAAGAAAAAAAACATGACCCTCTGGTCCCCCAACATGCAACCCAACCCATGCATCCCCTTTAAAGGAAACATGGTCTCCGACCCCGTCGGGTTCCACGGGCCGGACTGGAGGCGCGAGTCCGAGTTCCGAGTCGCCAGCATCTGCGGCACCAAGTCCCGCGCCAGCTGCCCCACCTCCTCCGCCAGCGCCGCCAGCTGCAGAGCCTCCAGGAGGTCCTCCCGCGCCGCCGAACGCTCCGGGCTCCGCCGAAGCGGAAGAGAAAGAGAAGGAGAGAGAGGGGAGAAGGGGAGAGGGGGAGAGAGACGGATTGATCGTCTCTCATGTCAAATGCTATGACACATTGAAGCTTGTCATAAAACTACATGTCTGCGTCACACAGGTGTGTATGAGCGTGTGTGTGTGTAAAAAAAAAAAAAACATTCGCGACTGTGCGTCTCGATCCTTCGCAGAACTGTCGGTTGAAATCATTTGTTGGTCTCTGCCGCTTGGTGCTCACCCCTTATTGAAGGGGCATGGCACCCGGCCAGCCTTTGAGCTCAACAGCGGTTGAACCTCAAATCCTGCAACACCCTCAGCGTGCGCGGAGGGTAATGAAAAGGCATGTCGCAGTGTGCCTCTTGTTCCACCACGTGGAAAAGCCGTGCTTGTCATGGCTCACGGCCATGGAACCATCGCACGCTTGCATGCTGCCTGCCCTCGAAATGCAGGCACCCCCCGTGGACGCTCGCAGCACCTCGTCCCCTCCTTGAGCTGCAGCCGTCGCAGGTCGCTGCTTTCGCCGGCCCGGCAGGCCGGGCAGTTGCAACGGAACCGGAAGAGCCTTGGGTTCAGGGTGGGTGGTCTTTTTCATGTGTAGGTGGGGTTACCCGCATGGGTTGGGGTGGATTGAATTAGGTTGGGTTGGGCTGGTTGGGTGAGTGGGCTGGGGGGGGTTAGCGGATTGGTGGATTGGTGGTTTGGTGGCTTGGTGGGTTGGTGGGTGCTACTACTCTAATGGTTGTTGTTATCACGATCACTCTTGCCAGTGTTGTTATTGTCAGCAGCATCATCATCATTGTTTAGTTGTTGATTCCTGTGATACTGTTTGATGGGTCTCAATGCAATGTGATCGCTTCGAAGGGGAGTCCCCACGGACTTTGAGCAAAACCTGGCGGAATAGGGTATTGCGCCCCCAAGCAAGAAACACATTCTCTTGAGTGGGACAGCGGCCTGGTAATCAGGAATTTATTAATCCTGAGTCAGCATCGAGGGGAACCAAAAGGAAACTAAGCATTCAGGGAGCTGGAAACATCCCGAATTCTTTCGATGGCCGGCCGATCGGTCTCATGCAAAGGGAAGAACAGGCAACCTTGATTGCATAGAGTCAAGGCCACAAGTCTCAACCTAGGGCTGAATCTTTGGCCACATGTCAGGATCGCAATGAGCAAAGCAAAAGAGTTCGTGTCATATTGAGCCCAAGCTGATCATTTGTTTTCCTGTTGGTTTCCTATTCAACCCACCCAAACAAGGGTTCCCTCAAAAAACCACCCACCAAAACAAATAAACGAAGAAACAAGCACTATTGGAGACCACCTTGGGGGTCAAAACCTGCCCGGGCAAAGCGGCTGCTCCAGGGTCCGCTGCCTCTCCTGCTGCGGCTGGTACGGCTCCACGTAGGAGAAGCACAGCTCCTGCCGTCGATTCGGAGCCCTCGCCCTGAGGGCCGACCCAAAACATCGGCGCCCGGATCTCGGGGCTTGAGGTTGCCCAGCTGAGACACGTTCTCAAAACCCGGTACGAAAATGGCAATCCCAGAACCATCCTGACTTGCATGCACCAGAGGGACAGAACTTGAGTCATGATCAAAACCTGGTAGTCAAATGGTCAACCCATGAAGCATGTAAAGAATTCAGAAGGCAGATATCCGCAGCTATTTCCAAGGGGATTGGGCCTTACTAACCTTCTAGCCGGGTTTTGAGCAAGTGGCTCTCATGGGATTCGGAGCACTTTCTTTCTCCTTCAACTAAATCGACCCCAGAAAGCAGCCCGATTTCCCAACCCCGAAAGTTCCAAGCCAATGAGAAGAGAAACCCAAACTCCAAAAGCAAATTGAAAGAGCTCAGCAAACAGACTGCCAAGTGTAGTTCAGACCTGTTGGTTGGTATTCAAAGAGAAACCACAAGGGATCCTTTTAGCAGTCGGCTGTGGTGTCAAAATTGTGGTCTTTTTTGTTTTACTCCCTTGGGTCGGGATTCGAAGTGAAACCACAACGAAACCCTTGCCATTTCTGCGGTCGACAACACCCTGTCGAGAAACGATTCGCAGCCCCCGAAACACAGCGGAATGTAATTCCAAAGCTAGGTGTCCGTTTAGAACCAAACCTGCAGCAGACAGCGCAACAACTCCGCTTCAAGGTACACCTCAAAGCATCTGCACGAACTAATCTTCGTCTGGTGATGACCTCGGGGGCCTTCCCCCCAAAAAATAAACAAAAGGAATGACACAACGAACAGCCCCTGCCCCCCCACCCCCCCACCACAACCCCCCCACCCTGTCTGCTCCTCACCCTCCTCCACCTCTCGTAAGACCCGCCATTCCGCGCAGCCATCCGCCCAAGTGCCCTGGATGTTGGGCACGCAGCTGTGGTTGAACCGGGCAGAGATGGGCAGAATGCCGCCCCCTGGCGGGGCCAGGGTCTGCTTGTTTTCGAACCCAACTCGGTTTTGCCCTGAGTGAAGCTCTCATGCATAGCTCCAAGCGGCCAAGTGGAAGAAGCTGGCTCACCATCTGCCGCGGTAAGCAAACCGCTAACCTCCAACTGGCTCAAAGGATGTGTTTTTGGCTGATTCAAGTTGCTCTTCACCCAACTGTCAGACGTTTCAAGTCGTTTCTGAGGGCGGAAAGACTATGAAGGCAAATGATGTTTCGCCCACAGCCACAGCCGTCTGCCAGCATTGGCAATGGCGGAACCTGAGGCGAACATGATAAAAAAAAAAAATAAAAAAAAAAAAAAAAAAAAAAAAAAAAAAAAAAAAAATGATGATGCACCTCCTCGAGTCACACCAGTGATTGAACGCCCCCACGGCGCTCACATCTTCCCACCATCTCTCTCCTCCCTGTCGCTTTCAGGGCCTTCTCCCAGGTGCAGGGCATTGGTCAAGGCCACTCCTGCAGCCGTCTTCCTGAGCGAGAGCGAGAGCGAGAGAGAGAGAGAAAGAAAGAAAGAAAGAAAGAAAGAAAGAAAGAAAGAAAGAGGCAAAGAGAGAGCCAAGCGTCGCCAAACAAAGAGGAAATCACTTTCTCGGTTGGCTGCGCAAGGAAACCACATGCGCTTACCCACCTTTTGGGTCGATCAGCCGGAAGCACGGACATTGCGCTTTCTTTGCCTGGCGCTCCTGGCACTCAGAGAGCAAGAGTGCTCCCGCACAGTTGACAAGCGGGCTCGTAAGCGGATGCAAATGCATCACGGCTGCAAGACCAGGCGTGGAGCAACGTAAAACGGGCCGAGCACTGGAGAGAACAGGGCAGACAAAGTCGCACTGCAAAAGTTGCGGTGGCAACGCGCACACGTGTAACGACAAGCATCTTGCTGGTGAAACTGGCGCAGGAAGATACAAAATAGGAACATCGAGCAAAACAAAACACCAATTTGCAGTCCAAAAATTACCCCCACCCACCCGTATGGTCCTTTGCGCCCAAGCCGGAGAATGGGCGATCTCTTTTTGGTACTAAAATGTTAACCGTTTTGCCCCCTCAACAAGAAACCGATGGTTCTCCCGCCTCAAAAAGAAACCGATCAAAGCAGAACTGGCAACATGTCCCGACAAAAACAAAACGCAACACCAACCAAACCAAGCCAAATCCATACCAAAATCGAACCCACCAAACCCAAAAACACCACGTCCAAAATCCAACCCATTGAGGGACCCTTTTACCTCAACCACCCACCCACTGGGCAACCCGCGGCCCGCACCGCCGGGCCACGTGTCGCCGTGGCAGTCGGAGAGCGCCCAGAAGCTTCGGCGGAGCTCCGCACTGAGCTGCCGCAGCGCCGCCTGGAGGTCCTCCTCCAGCTGCCCTCGGGATCGAATCGAGATCTGTGGGCCCGGCCAATGGCCGGTTCCGTCCAAAAACACCCCAAACAAACAAGAAAACATAGGGCCATGGGCTTTTCAAAAGCCAAATCGTACCCGCAGCGAACATCCCAATCCTCACCAAAATAGGTTCTAAAATGGGTGGCGCACCTACCCCAACGTGGTACCATTGGTTTTGACCCAATATCTGGGTATGAGTCAAAATTAACCCAGACAGGGTTCAGTCCACATACCAGGGCTTGATTTTGGGTACCTATTTTTGAGCCAACTTACCCATGTGTGCTGCGGGGCGCTTGTTTTGAAAGAGCCAGTTTTGAGCTTAAAAGGAAACCAACTCAAAAATCACAACTTGTTGCGTGCCCCTATGAGTTTCACCTGGAACCCCCTCAAAGTACGTCCCAAATTCAGGGTACCCAAACAAAGGCGGGTAACCAAAACAAGGGTGGGGGGGTCCTTCTGGTTCCCGTTTAAGCCGCGCAAAATGTCAAAAGGGCGCCCTCTAAAACACGGACCATGGGATGGGTATGTCGCAAGATGGACCCCTGTGTTTCCAGGGCTTTGGATGTATTTTTAAAGTTTCCCATTAAACAAGGTGAAATGGGTACCCTCGAAAAAGCACACCCACGTGGAACCCACAACCCTGCGCTCCTTCGAAGGAAGCTCACGAAGTACGGCTACGTCATGCAATCAGGACGCACCTGGACCCGTAAATTTGGTCCGAACAATCAACCAACTTGTAGCTGCCAACACTCCTCTCCCCCCCACCCCCCCCATCCCCACCCCATCCCCACCCCATCCCCACCCCATCGCCCCCCCATCGCCCCTACCTCCCCCAAGGCGCCCAAAGAGGTGCGGTTCAGCAGGTCCACGGCCTCGAAGGAGCCGGGGACTCCCAGCAGCGGCCTCTCCCGCAGCACCAGCTCCCCGCGCCGCAGCCGCCGCGTGGCCACCTCGGCTCTCCGAGGCTCCGAGGCTCCGAGGCTCCGAGGCTCCGAGGCTCCGAGGCTCCGAGGCTCCGAGGCTCCGAGGCTCCGAGGCTCCGAGGCGGCGCGAAGGCCATGGGGGTGGGTGGCTGGGTGGTACCCCGGCCTTTTTGGTCAGCTTGACCTGAAGACTTTCGGGCTCTGAAGCTGAACACAAACTTTCAAACCCAAAGCCCCGACGCAGTCAAAAAGGCACCCCAGAAGATTCGAAAAAAAGAACAGCCGCGAAATAGATCAAGTCGTGTCCGGTCCACTTGTTCCTTTTGTATTATTCTGCTCTTTTTTTCTTAAAACATAAATAAATAAAGAGACAGAGGGGAGAAGAAAGAAAGCTACCGAAGGGAACTGCGAGAATCCGGAAAACACAAACAACCAACCCGCAGCACTGTACTACAATGCGATGCTCTGCAAAGCACGACCAGCCACAGTCCCGGTAGGCAGCAGTTAGCACCCTAACTGCCCTAACTGCCCTAGATGGCCTCCATGCCGCAGGCCCCAGGTCCCAAATCTCCCAAGCGCCCATGGCCCTGCCCTAGGTGCCCCAGGTGCCCTAACTGCCCTGGAACTGATCTAGGGGACCTTGTGTTCTTTTAGTACCAACCAAAGGACCAAAGGACCTAATTAGACCTTGGAAATGCCTACTTTTTCTGGCATTCCATGCAATCCTTCCGGTTTCCCCAAATGGTTGGATGAAATTCCTTCATGCGTCCGTTGCAAAAAAGCCAAGCAAACAAGCGCCTCCCCCCACCAACAAAAAAAGCGAGGGGGGAGGGGGGAGAGTGCCTGAAACTTGGCGACCCCCAACAAAACCAGCAACAGATCCCAGGTCAACGACTCTCGATCCGTCGATCCGATTCAATTCGCCGAATTCTTCGCCCCGCCGCCACTCCGAAGCCTTTGCCCTCCAGCTCCTCCACCGCGATGAAGCTTTGCCAGGCCTCACACGCCGAAAAAGCCTGTCGTGGTTCTTGTTTGTCGCCAAAATCTGGGTATGGGTCAGAAGAAAGAAGAACCAGACCGCAGAGGTCTTGGTGTTGTGTTCCATTTACCAGGGTTCGAATTTGGGTACCTATGGACCCACAGCCATTTTGCGCTGTGGTTCAAAGGCGGCTCCGGGTCAAAATTCCAGAATGGTTTCGGGGGACATCACCGGCTTTTCTCCTTTCAGAGGTGTTTGGTTGTGTGTGTTCTACGAAAAAAGAGTGGACTCCGACATACTGGGCGAAGTCATCGAATGGCCTAGGGTACCATAAAGCTACATTCAGCCGGCCCCAACTCCCATTGTCAACGGCGCAATAGGGCCCGATTCCCAGGTCGGGGAAAAGCGACTAAGGCCGCTTTTCGGGGCGAACAGATTGGTTTGGGTATTTGGTGACGAGCCAGCAAAAAACGGGGTATATAATCACATGACTATACATCCATATCGACATTATATGCAAAAAGGCTGCAGGAACACATTTTTCTCTTGATGGCTAGGTGGCGAAAACCCGCCTAGAGCAGATAGGCCGCCCACGTTTGACTCTCTATGGCTGGGAAAGTGATAACAAGGGTGTCAAGGATGAAAACCATCCAAAAGGGGATGACATCAAGAAGCGACAGCCCATGCTATATCTCGAAGGGGACAAAGATGGCTTCATTTGAGTTCCGACATCCAACATCCTGACAAATCTCCCTGTCCCGTTGCAAAGAGGGCACACCAGTCGTGTGGAACCCAAAACACGGTGTGCTGGAAACATGTCCAAGTCAGTCAGAATGAGAACCTCGGAAGGGAGGGAGGGAGGGAGGGAGGGAAAGAGGGAGAGAGGGAGAGAAGATGAAGCATGGAAAGAGGTCCAAAGGCCTGCCCTTTGGGCCGCGGGGCATGCAGATGCCGAGCGTGAGTCAGCATGCCCCACTGTTGTCGGATGGGAATCAGTTGCCAGGCCAACCGCCCAGCCCTAGTAAAAAAGGAACATGACTTCAATTTGTCCGGGACTGGTTGCCTCCTCTTGCCCCTCCGGCTGGAAGATCGCTCTCCGGCGCGGAGCCCGGCCTCTCGCCAGGGCGAATTGCATCAGACATGCAGCGGCCTCCTTTTTCCGAGTCGTCCAAATGGGAAAGCCATCAAACCCCTCCTTTGAATGTGGGGAACCTCTTTCGGTGGGCTTCCGAAGGGAAAGAAACATGGAAACCAATCCATGGGCTACATTGTACGACAGACACATCCATGCCGGGCTTGAAACCAATCCATTTAGGAAATTCTAAGACAGACACACGGGTGCAGGCGGTCCATGTCTATGCCAGGCACGACGGCTTTGGCTTCTCCAAGGCACCCGAAACGCCCCTTCTTCCAACCGCAGCGGCCAGCAAGCTCGACTGGCAGAGGCTCCCAGAGCTCAGCCTGGAGACAGGCCGGGTCTCCGATCGTTGATCCGAGTTCCCCGAAAATGTCGGGTCTATGGCTGCCTCCATAGGATTCATCTGGAGCCAGAAAAAAGGTGCACGACAAATTGCAACAGGACCCAGACATCAGGAAGCCTTCCCTTGAGCTCCTTGTCACGGCCATGTACCGAGTTCTAGCATTTAACCAAACGCTGCAGTGCCTTATCATTGCAAAGCCATATGCTAAGCTGAAAGATAGAAATGAGGCAGCCGTACTTGATCCAACATGTGCTTTGCTGGTCACCTCCACTAATGTACTGACTTTTGAAGCAGGCACAGCACCTTGGATCACGCTTTGAATGCGCGCCTTTTCCAATCGCAACCCTGAAACGCATCTTCAAACAAGCCAAATACGCGCCTCGCACAAGTGTGAGGCGCAAAGCTGGGGGATGCATGTCTCTGCGTCAAGCTTGCCCGCTGTGCGAACTGCTAGAATGTCCGTTTATTTCCCTGTTGCTTGTAGCCTTCAAGCCACCAACTTAGTAGCCTGTGGCAATCTAGTAGGCAACAAGAAGAAACACCTATGGGAAACCAACTTACATGACGCGTCTGTGGTCTTCAAACTGATCCTTCACCATCCTTCCTGCCATTTCTGGCTTCTTGAACCATGGCTGAGTGTGTGCTTTACAAACCAATGCTGGCTGCCTTTGCCGTCCAAGAGCAACAATCCGTGATTGAATCCCTGTCCCAGCCAAACCGGACCTGGACTTCCTGCGCACATCCCTTTTTTTGTTGCTGGCAACACCGGCCCAACGTCTGGAGAATTCCCATCGGCCCCAGATCCCGAGGCCTTAAGGCAGAGGCCCTCGCTGACGGCGGCTCGCGCGCAGGGCGCGGGAAGCTTCCCGCGCGCGTCCGGAAGCCGGGGCTCGCAAGCGCGGCCATGGCGTTCGGAACCGCTCCAACGCTCAGGATGTCCCTTCAAACTCCCCCAAAATCGGAGCGTTAGCAGCTGAAAAGAAAAGTATAGATGTTTCGCAAAATGAGGGGAAACCTCCTGCATCAGTTGGTTGTCATTGGTTTCCCATCCACAAAATAGATCCCAGGTGTGCATTTCCGGCACCCGCAAACATGTCCCCCCCTTACCCCTCTCCTTTGCTTAGGAGTGTCGGGCTTCAGATACAGGGCCAGGGAAGCTCCCGGGGCACAGCTCCGAATGGCCAGGCCTGTGTGGCCTTGCCAAGCTGAAGCCGCGGTCTGGGGGGGGAAGTCTGGGAACACGAAAACCCAGCTTGAGGTATCGAATAGCTGAGAGAAAGGGATGAGCAATGGATTCAAATGAGGTCAATCCTAAGCAGTATGCCCAATCTTACACGTGAGCCGTGAAAGGCACAGCTCGCCCATAGCGCCCCTGAAATGAAAATGCTGCTCCAAGAAAAGGCAAAGAAATCCCCTCCTCTCGCAACTGATGTTGGAACAGAAGGGTTCCCCATCAAAGGCTGCTTGAGCAGCTGGTGCAAATGGAAACAGCATGCATCGGAAAAATCCTGTGGGAACCACTCAAAGCCCTGACCAGCACCCCGACCAGCAAACCAACTGCAGCGCCAGTCATCCCAGCACCCTGACCAACACTGCACATGGAGGGAAAAGCTGCTCAAGAGTTGCGCTTTGGGGGTTGTAAAGTATACTTCACGCCACTCTAGCCTCATGGAACCATCATACCGCACCCATGGCACCACACGCCAGTATCGGACCCACCAGAAACCCTTCAAACAAGACCTGTAGGTTGTCCTTGCTCCAGTGCTTGGGCGGTCCTTGGGATAGACAACTCTCAGTTCTCCAGCACGCTTTCTTTTTCAAACTGCCAAAGCCAGTGTGCTGTTCACAGCAAACTTGAGTGGGTGTGAAAGACACTGGCTTTGAAGCGCAATAGTATCATCAAACAAATCAGCTGAGACAAGGCCGCCAGGAGAAAGGGCGCTTGTGCATACCCACTACTCAGGCAGACCTCGGATCACAGATGAACGCTCTTCTGAGGGCCGAAGGGTCCTAGCTCAACATGACACCCTCATGCTCGACTCAACTGCTCTCGCAGGTGGGGTTTACAACACGCCACAAGCAGGCTGGGCCTAAAGCCTATCAAGCACGGCCATGCATGAGGCATCTCAAGTGTTGTTTGCCGATGAGACCGGGTAAGTCAACATTTGCGTGGAGCTGAGGATCAAAAGCCACCTACCCTCAGAGCAAAGTCCCGACGTCAAACAAGAGATTGCTCTGGATACCTTGCAATCCCTTCGGAGCAACAAATACGTTGCGGCCTCTTTGGCGTAGTGTGGCGGACTGGCAATATGGAGAAGTCCGAAGTTGGCTTTAGCAACAAAAGTGGTGACGATCGCAGAACTTGGACATTCGCTGTAAAGGGTCAAGGTCACCCGCATTCCCTGCCATCTCGCTTCGTCCAAGTGACTGAAAATATCATCTGGTATACAGGCGGCATGAGGACCAGGAACCTTGCCACGCTGCAGCGCCAAGATATGGGTCGGTCTCAAAGTTCGGGTAGCCTCTATAAAGAAGGATTTCTTGTTGGTTTCCTTTTAAACCCAACCCAAAACTGAAGAACGAGTCTCCCAGAGGGAAAAACTTGGTCGAGGGGCAGGGACTGGATTCCCTGCAGCGCGCTCAAGACAGCTCCGCTTTGCAGGCTGCTGGCTTGACCGGCTTGATCAGCGAAGTTCCTGCAGGGCAAGTGTCCGTCAGAATCAAAACCCGGTAATGGTTGACCCAGAAGAAAAAGGCGGCCGCAGCTATTTATGGCTGGGATTGTCCCTTACTTATCTTCATCTACCCAGGTTTTGATTGTGGGGCTCAAGTGTCCGTCAGAATCACTGCACCGTGGGACGAGGACGACCAGTGCACGTCTTCCCACCCCACATGCCAAAAGCTGTTATTGCCCAAAACGGACACCGGGACTGGCTGCAAGGCGCCTCAACTAACAACCGCAATAACAGCGCAGGAAAGGCCCTTGGCGGAACCGCGGATGTGTGTAACTCCTTCACATCAACGAAGATAAACATGGAAGTGAGATCGTATTAACGTTGCTGTTGCAAGGCATGAACATCCCGATAGGAAGGACGTTGGATCTTGCATTTGCCCCCATCTCTCAATCCTTTTACACCTGGTCAAAAGCCCGTACCCCCAGTGAACATCCCAATCCCCACCAAAATAAGTTCTAAAATGGGTGGTGCACCCACCCCAACACATGGGATCCCATTGGTTTTGACAACCACAGCCACCTAACCGCTTGTATCGAACCTGCTCCGCTCTTTGCTCTCGCCAAGCGCCGAGCGTCGCTGTCAGCGTCTGAAAGGCGGGGGTTCCCACGGAACCAAAGCCCGCGATGCTCGCCAAACCTGTCATTAAGCCTTAGCGCGGCGTGACAAAGCCGCCGGCAAAAAATGGCGTCCTTGGCCTGGCTGCAACTGTGATTCTGCGGTGTCTCCAAAAACGGGACCTCGTCCTCTTGCCAGTTCAAGCGACAAAAGAATAGAGAGGCCGTTCGGAGCACTCAAACCAGGTGGAGCCTCACTCCAAAACCAAAGCATTGCAGCAACTAGTAGAGACAAGGCCAAGTTGTCTCCATAAGCAGTTACCAGAACGGGCACTCTTGTGCGGCATTGCTTCCACCCTAAAACCCGAAAATTGAACCCCTGCATAGTGCTTCGTCCCAAACCTTTCCATAGGTCCCTTCTGAGCTGGCCACGAAAGCTCGGCGCCAATGCCAGGTTCAGCAGGTTCAGCCCGCCCACCGAGAGACCAACGGCGAAGAGACACCGGAGGCTGCACTGGCCGAGAGCTTCCGGCTTCGGTTTGCTGGGCGCTTCCCCTCAAGGCACGGCCTGTTTTGCGTAAGCGCGCCGGGGATGACGCAGCGGGCCAGCCGAGGGGTGATGAGGAGCTGCACAAAGCCGTTGCCTGGGCAACACTGTGGACTGCCAGCAACGCAAGCGGCTCTGAGCACTTCGAAAACGCAAAGTAAAGGTGCCATGTCTGGATGACTTGCCAAAGAAGCAGTGTCCAAGCACCTTCTAAGTCTCTTGGGCCGCTAAGCTCTTGCAGTTGCGCACGGAAAGCCAAGCCGCTCACAGTCTCCACGGTAAGCAAGGGCGCGAAAGTGCTGGACGTAAGACCAAAGCGCGCCTTCAAGGCTGGAGATAGGATCAAAGTTCATGAACGGATAGGTCTGGCGAAAAAGAAAAAAAAAAAAAAAAAAAACGGTGTTTGGAGGAATCCAGCTGTGCACGTGGCGTTGTGCATATGAACTTCTGCCCCAGGTTTGTGAGCTTCGCTGCTCTGCGAAACGCACCCTTCAAGATGCGCAGCATAGCTGTTTGACTTCTTGAATGCACTGTGCGGCTTGCCCTGTGTGCTTCCAGCCTTGCAAAAGGGTAAGAGGATGCTCTGCGTAGCAGCTCCAGTTCCCGTGGCAACAAAGCCTAGCAGGAAGATGCTGCGAGTGGCTTTGAAGGCGCAGACTTTCGGCAAGTTCCTCCTTGGTCCAAGCGCAAGACCCAACAAACTCTGGCCATCTTGCTGTAGGGAGAGCACAGGCCTAGTTCCGCCTTCCAAGGGCCAAAGCGCAGACTCGTGTCCAAGCTGCTGCCAAGCGACCAATGAGTAGCAAATGCCGCCCAAGACTCAGACATCCCTAGCCTGTCGGATGTGGGCAAGCTACTCTGATTGGCATCAGAAAAAGTGTTGTGCACGCATTCAGGATGCATGAAAAGCACTTCAGACACAAGTCTCATAAGATGTGGCCCTGCCTGTCTGGGCTGCGTTGTGGCAATGACTCAGTGAGGAAACCTCAGAGCACTTACCGTTCCGTCGCAGAGCGATTTGGCACAAAGTACTGACGGAGAACCCCGCACAGGCTCTGACAGCCTGTTAGGAGGGTCGCCAGACGTAGGGCCACCAGCAGCAGCACCTGGGTCGCGAAGGCTTGGCTCTGTTTCAGCATTTGAGGGAGCACGCAGGCCCCTGAAAAAGTGCTTGATCAAGCTTGGGATTCGTTCAGGTCCATTAGCTGAATGTCCAGCCTTCCAGCTCTGTCCATTGAGATGTAGGCTGTCGCTTTTGCATTTTCCGACCAAGCCACTGCTGTCTTCCCACTGAGAAGTTTGGCAGCAAGAGGTACAACGATGCCCTCCATGCTTTGGAAGGCAGACAGGCGCGCATAGATCTTGACGCGATCGTTTTGCGCAGTGCAGTCGTTGATCCAAAGCCTGCGCAGGAAGCCCGTGCAGCAGTCCGACACATCTCCTTTGCAAGGAGGCGAATTGATCGCACGTACAACTACAAAGCTTCGCGGTGAAAACTTCTGTGGCAAGAGTGAGGAATCCCTTGGTCAAAAACATTGCAAACGACCCTGCCACATCTTCCAATCTTCAAACAAATGGCATCTGGGAAAAGTAGGAAAAGTAGCGAGCACTCGTAGCAAGTGGGTTGACGCTCACCTGTCCACTGCATTCCCATGCTTAAAACCAGATCTGCGCAACCACGCAGGCAAGCGGCGAGAAGAGAGTTGGCATTGGCACCACCTGGTCGACTATGGAGGCCGCAAGGAATGCGTAGATGGAGAGGTTGAGGCAGGAAACGCACAGAAGAAGCAGCGAAGGCACCTTCAGAGGTGAAGGAACAAGGAATCTGGAATCATCTGGGCTTAATGCGAAGCAGGCCTTGTATGCGGAAGTTGGTTGATGTTTCCATACATATGATTTGAGTGTATGTAGCCAGCCCGCTAACGTAGAAGGTTTCTAGCTAAAAGAGCTCCTCTTTCAGATGTGAACCGACATAGGACCATGCTTAGTGCCAGATCCGCCTGCCAAGCACCAGCTGTGTATCAATTCGGGTGCCTCTGCCAGCACTAACGCGAGCACGAAGAGTGGCTTTCGTCCGAACCTGTCGGCTGCATCTCCTCAGATCCAAACTGAGGCATCCTTGAACGGGAGATGAAAGAAAGGTAGCCGCAGTGAGGGCTAATCTAGCCGCATGTTCTCCCAGAATTGGCTGCAGCCCATCACAACTAAGCCGTGCAAAAATGGCCTGAACGAAGAGGCAACACAGTCGACTAGTGCAAGAATCACAAATGGCACAAATGAAAGGACGGCCTGAATGCAGAGGCAACACAGCCAACCAGCGCAAAATCACAAATAGCATGCATAAATGAAAGGACTGCCTGAATGAAAAGGCAACACAGTCGACAAGTGCAAAAATCAGACGGCCTGAATGAAGAGGAAACACAGCCATGAAGAGGCAACACAGCCAAACAGCGCAAAAAATCACAAACGGCATAACTGAAAGGACAGCCTGAATGAAGAGACAACACAGCCAACCAGCACAGAAATGAAAAAGTCGGCCTGAATGAAGAGGCAACACAGTCAACCAGTGCAAAAAATGACAAATGGCAGAAATGAAAGGACGGCCTGAATGCAGAGGCAACACAGTCAACCAGCGCAAAATCACAAATAGCATGCATAAATGAAAGGACTGCCTGAATGAAAAGGCAACACAGTCGACAAGTGCAAAAATCAGACGGCCTGAATGAAGAGGAAACACAGCCATGAAGAGGCAACACAGCCAAACAGCGCAAAAAATCACAAACGGCATAACTGAAAGGACAGCCTGAATGAAGAGACAACACAGCCAACCAGCACAGAAATGAAAAAGTCGGCCTGAATGAAGAGGCAACACAGTCAACCAGTGCAAAAAATGACAAATGGCAGAAATGAAAAGACGGCCTGAATGAAGAGGCAACACAGTCAACCAGTGCAAAATTGACAAATGGCATAAATGCAAGGACAGCCTGAATCGAAAGGCAACACAAGTTGTGGGCCATGATTGATTGAGGCCTTTGCGCACAAAAACTGGTGGGGATGCCGAGCCGAGGATGCAGCCAAGGTGGCAGGGGAGCCTGACCAGGAAGCCTCTCTGGAGATGAAATCATGACATGCCCTTGCTGCAGTGGCCCCTGCGAGACATGCTGGGCATGAGGCTCTGCGCGTAACTTGGAAAAGGATCACGTCTCTCTATCTGGAGTATTGGCCGGAAAGCAACGCTCCCTTCCCCCATCTGCCAGGTGTCCGACCATGGGAATCGTCAAGACGCTCATGATGCCGCCAAAGAATTGGAACCTCAGCTGATTCGAGCACATCTTGAACCAACTTGAGCCATTCTTCCACGGCAGTGTCAAGTGATGCTTACGCAGGATGATCTCTCCAAAACTGCTTCAGCATGCGAATGGACGGAGAGAACTTGCTGATTCAACAGCACGAATCAGGAAAAATTTGGTTTTGTCCGTCTGGAGCAAAATGAATGCGTGCGCCTTCGCATCCTAATGTAGCCCTTCTGCCAAAGCGACCCCGCGTTCGCCCTCGTGGCATGGGACACCGAGCTCTCGCAGGCTGCGAGGTCATAGACCTCCGAAGACTCGTTGCACACGTCCTATGGCAAATGACGGTGGGTCAAAAGACATGTACCAAAATGGCACCTTGGCAAATGAAAACAAAGACTAAAAACCTGCGTAACCCCAGCTGTTTCCTTTTGAGCCACCCAAATGTGAGCATTTCAGCCTGGCTGCTGGGAAGCGATTTCATGCAAACTTGCATCCACAGAATGAGGGATCGGTTCCCTGCAGACAAAGACACCAAGTCCAAGCACGCGCTACACGATGGATGGTAGCCCACAGTCCTCTCCGTTGTTCATGGCTGCAACGATGATGTCCAACGCTATCAGTCCAGACCTCAATTCGACCCCCCTCCCCCCATGGCTTGTTAAAATCGGGACAGATTGATGATGACGACCAAGGAAGGCTTAGGCTTGTAAGATCCAGTGCTACATCAAGATTCACATCAAGACTCACTAAACAAACACAAGCGGGCGTGAACGCAAAGAAACCAATTAGCCTTCCATCATTCCCAAGAAGCAGGATCTGGGACAGGTTGTGAAGCAAAACTACCTTGGCGCGGTGGACAAGAATCCAGTGGCGGCATGCAAGAAGCGAGCTGTCACTGCAGAAAAAGCAAACACATGATCTGTAGATCTCTTGCATCATATCCATTCCAGCACCAGCGCTTGAGCAGCCCTGCACAAAGTTGCAAAAAGCACGTCGTTTCTTGATGCCCTGTTGCACTCCAAAAGGGGATTCTTTGGCACTGCCTGGACATCATCTCTCCATCACCTGGGCATGGGGAGTCGGCACTACTTCCTGCTTCCCCGGGACAACCAAGGCTAAGGCTTCCGGCTGTCCATCCAAGCCAAGTCAAGGCGCTGTTGTCTGGGTCGCTGAAAGCTGCATGGAGCCGCCATCAAGCGTTTTGGCAGAACTCACGCATTCCCAGCACGAAAACAATATCCAAGGCAAACAAAAGCCCTTCGATCAACTCAGACTCATGGTGAAAATTGCGACCAACGTCCAATCGCACGCTCCACACGCGCACACACACACACACTACCCCCACCCCCCAGCCCCCCCTTCTCCAGCGAGACCTTGAAGTTGGCAACGACAAAAACCCTCGTGCAAGGAGTGGGGCGCGCTAGGTACATCACAACAAGCTAAAAGGAAGCCATCGCAAAAGAGTCGCACTCACCCAAGAAAGTCAGCGGCTCACGCGCTTTTGCATGCTCTCCTGGTCACCGGCTTTCTGGGATGTGATTGGTCACATCGCAGAAAGCCTTTTTCTGGTCACATCGCAGGAAGCGCAGGATTGCAAAGATGCTTGGCAATGGCACTGCCTTTCGAACTGCTTGCTGGCAGCAAAGTGCCATGCCCGCTGTCTGTGAACCGGCCAGCGAAGTCAGCAGCGAAAAGGTCAGCCCCTGAGACGCAACAAATGCAAGTTCTTTGCTTGCAACGAGCTGAACATCTGACTCTGGCATTGCCTGGCAACATGAAGAGAACTTGGGCAAGATATGTAGCTCAGCGAGCTTCGCACAGAAGGGCTTCCCCTGTGCCAATCTCCTGCTCTTGCCGCTGCTCCAACTCTTACATGCCATCTACTCCCCTGCACGCTAGGAAAAGGGAATGCTTCTGCAAATGAAATGCAACTACGTTCGAACTACGTTCGGAGCCGTCCGTACCACGAATCTTCAGAATGAATGCGACTGCAAGCAGCAGTAGCACTAGAATGACCAAGTCTTGTGACCTCTCATACTTCTTGAATGACAAGGTCGCTCTTGGCTTTACTGAGGTCCACTTTTCAAGGTAATCTTCGAATTGGGCGGAAGATGTTGAAACTCCACAATGCACTTGAAAGCCACACTGCTGTTGGACAAAGGGAGCATCAAATCACGAAAACTTATCGCCTGGGGAGGCGATCTTTCTACATGGCAAGAACTGGCCTTGACCGGAAGCAGGCCTATATCAAGCGATTGCTGAGAAAGGCTGGCGACTCCATGAAATGCATAGCCCCTGCATCACAGGAGTGCAAGGCCAAAATGTGCTTTCTACCTGCAATATGGGCTCTTCAAAAACCTGGAAGTTCCGGTGTTGATCATCTCCTTCTCTGGAGACGAAAAGGGCCTAGCTGCAAGCAACTGATGCGATGGATCTGTATCGGATACTTAGTTTATCGTCTAACTGCATGGACTGTGCGCCATTGCGGCTAGTACTGCTAGTACCTACCTCGTACCCGTCTCATGTGTCCTGGTGTCCAAGTCGCGAAAACGTCATCTGCCTAACGATTGGCAACGATTCCAAGCGAGCATCACATCCTGGATGTTGTTTGGATGCATGCTTGAGTTGGCTCACAAAGCGCAAGACGATGGCAACTAACCAACAAAACGCGTGGCGAGTTTTCGTCAGCAGAGGTAGACTGGACTCGGACGCAACACCTGCAGCACCGTCAGCACCTGCTCCCCCGAAAGGTGCTTCCGCGAGCTTACGCGAGCACAGGGGTAGCTCACGCGATCAACCACGCCACTTGCACTTGCGCGACACACTTCCGCAGCCTTGCGCCGCCACATGTTTGCCGTACGCCGGGGGCCCTTATGACCACTCCCCTTCAATCGTGCAAAGTGATTTGAAACCCTGCTCAATTGCCGTTCAAGCGGCTCATCATGCGAGGCAATGGCTTCTTTGTCGTTGGCAGAAGTTTGGCAAAACAAGCCATCAGCAGCTCGTCGCCGAGTGTCTCGCTTTCGCGTCCGAAATGCCAGGCCCCGACTTCAACGCAACTCTCAAAGCTGCAAAACTTCGAACCTGGCCTGAACTCTGAACTTCGTTTCAGTGCCTCTGATCAAAAGGTTGTCACCAAGAACCAAGCCCAAAGGAGCAAAATGGAACTTTTTGGCAGTGAAGCCGGCTCGGTTTCACCACTGGAGGTAGCACAAGCCAAGCTTCCGATGCCTAGGCCGGAAGAAAACTCACCCGGCACAGTACTGCAAAGGCCGGTGGCAACAGATGTTGCACAGTGCAAGCAAGACTACGGATGCTGGGCAATCGCATGCAAGCTGAACCCCAGCGAAGCTCTTTTCTGTCTTGCCGTGTGGAAATGCGTGGACTGCTTTTTCAGGGCTTCCTTTTTCAGCATTGTGACACGAGCCAGCCCTTGGTTGACCAAGGCTGTCACTCTGAGGCGAGCCCAACAAAGTTGTAGCTCGGGCTCTGTGCAGATTGCTGGCTCGGAGTCCCAACGCTGGAGCTGGATGCATGCAGACCAGACAAACGGATCACGCCACTGTTCAGAGGTTTGGCAATTGGTGATGCAAAGCGGCAAGAGCCATTTTTTCCTGGCTTGGCCGCTTTGCAAGGAGTCGACATGTGGGCAGAACTCACCAAGTCGTCAGCAGCTGTCTATGGGACAAAACTGCCCGGTCAACACTGATAGTCACATGGGGGGCTTGTCCAATCGGCCAGAAGCTCTGAACAAAGCAACGCCACAAAAATTCCGATCGACCGCGTTTGGGCCGCGACCTTGCCTGCCGGGCAACCAAAGCAACGATTCAGATCAGGCAGGTGTGGCTTGCAGCTTCGCTGCCAAGAGCATACGCGCAGACAGCGCTCCCCACAGGTCTGCTCGCACTGACCTACAGTACAGGCGAAGTCCTCAGCCTGGCCGGGCAAAAACTTTGAATATGGTACTCGCGTCCGCGTGCTTGCATGCTAAACTAGCAAGTCAACAAGCATAAAGATATACAGGATCTGGATGTACTCTTGATGCACCTAATAACAAAACCCCCCTGCCCAATAGCGACATTGCTTTCCGACCTTGCGTAGTGACTGCGGGCGCAGCGCGAAACGCGCACTTGCTTAGTTCCAGTTGGAACAGTTTGTCGAAAAGGCCCGTAACAACCTTTCCTTTGGGTCCAGCGGGTCTAGGAAAACATTGTTTACAAGGGAGATCTGTCATTGGGAGAAGGCCCTGCACCTCTGCAAAGCAACACGAAATTACTGCGTAAACAAGCGTCAACAAAGATGGAGTGACTAGTAAGGGCGATTCTCGAACAAGCGAAGCATTCGTCGCTCTGCTTGCAAATTATCGAGACAAGGCAACACATGATGAAACCGGCCAGCACATTGCCTGAACTTCATGGAAAGGATGCTGCCGACCATAGTCAATCCACGCTGCCAAAAGGACCTTAGATGACAGGACCCCAGCCGCCCTTGCTACTCCTGTTGAGGTGACCATCTCAAGTCCCTGGTTTTTCCCTCTTGGTCTTTGATGTTTCTTCTACACCTTGCAGCAAGAAAAAGACTAGAGCGCAACTGGCTTGGCCAGAAGCTGCCAACAATTTACTTGAAACCAAGCATCAACGGGATTGGAAAACGACTCACGCCAATAAAGATGGAAGCAAGGACTGTCCAAGGATCAGGCTCGAAAAGCTGCTAGAGCGCACGTTCCGCACCATCACCCCAACCGCGCTTTGGCTGTTGCCGCAGGAGAGCCGGCCTAGTTCATTGCGAAACGGCACGCAACCCTTTGCCTTTCAACAATCCTTTGAAACCCGATAGTCAAACCCAAGCTGCAAGAAGCAAAACCAAGTTCGTTGGGATTCTTCGTTTGGGCTTGCAATTGAGGCGCCAGACTGCCCAACCTTCAAAGCCAGTCGAAGTCTGACTTTGCAAGGTTTGAGCCTTTCACTGCGAAATCGTGAATGACATCAGCGCTAGGCCATCAACGTGGGAAACACGTCAGAAAGTTTAAAGGAGCGGGACATGTTAGACGCAACGGGCACTGCGCCTAAACAAATAGTTCACAACCCGTGCAAAAACAAAATGCAGCCCTCATTCGCTCCTTTTTTGTTGATGCGTTGCGCAAGGTGCTCAGGCTGAGAGGCGGTGCACGGCGGTGCACACGCCTTCAACTCTGCGTGGGCGGATGCCACCCCTGTGCGAAATGTAAGTTCCAACCACACTCAATCGCACAGCGGTGCCAGGGACTAACGCGGCACGGCGCAGCGGGTAGATAGGCTCCCAGGAGAATTTCTTGGCTAGGCGGGCTTGGCAAGGGTTGTCCGTCTCGGAGAAACAAAAACGGTGGTTCACGAGAATTCACCGAAACCCAGAACATGGGGTAACAATTCAGAACACTTGCCAAAGAAAACGGGCGCAGCCCGCACCGCTTCATTTTCTTTGATGGGTTGCACAGGTGCTCAAATTGAAAGGCGGTGCACAGAAGCGCGGCTTGCAACTCTGAGCAGGCGGATGTCACCCCCCTTCAATGACTGCGGGTCCTTGCAAGTTGGACAGGCAGCATCCTATTGTGCTCTTACGATGAAGCCTTAACGCATACTCCCCTTTTGGTTTCACACCCCAGGCAAGTACACATCTTGCATAATCCTTGGCTGAACAGCTTTGTTGGCCGGGTACCGAGGGTGCAAGTGCGGTGGATTTTGCTGCTCGGCCTTACATTCCACGCCCGAAGCCAACCAAGCCAGACGCAGGGTTGGACACGCGTTGTAAACCTTCCTGCACCCCTGAGCCTGTACCTCTGAGCAACTCCTTTCTTTTGGGTTTCCTTGGTTTGAAGCTGTAAACAGGATTTAAACGCAACGCAACAGCCAAGTGGTTCAAAAATGAAGTTTCAACGGTCTGCTTGTCAGACTGGCTTGTGGGGGTGGTCGGACTGGCTTGTTCCACTCTCAAGTTGTCGAAATGACTTGTGAGGAGTCGGACTGACTTGTGTCTGTCAGACTGCCTTGTGAGAGTGGTTGGACTGGCTTGTACCTCTGGTCGGATTGGGTTGTAAGAGTGGTCGGATTGGCTTGCGGGTGTCGGATTGGCTTGTTGGGGTTGTCGGATTGGCTTGTTGGCCGCCGCTAGCCCCGAAAGCGTCAGACTGGCTTGTGCCCGAAAATCGTGGAAACCTTTCACCCTAAGAAGAAACAACGCAGAAACTTAAAGATTCCAAACAGCAGATTCTGCGCTCAAACTCCAACTGCTCGCGCGCAAGCACCAAACCTTCCGAACACACAACTGAAGAAAATGCGCGTGTTTCGCGCCCCGCCGTGCGCTCAGTCAACAGTTCAGGCCTGAGCATGCGAAAGTCGTTTTCCGCACACAATTGTCAATTGCGCCTCACCTCACCTCACCTCACCTCACCTCACACTCACTCACTCACTCACTCACTCACTCGCTTGCTTGCTTGCTCGCTCACTCACACTCACTCCCTCACTCACTCACTCGTCACAGTCAATAACACCTCACTGACTCACTCACGCACGCACTCACTCACTCACTCACCAGTCACACTCACACACTCACGCACCACTCACCTTGCTTCACTTCACATACTCCCGCTTCACTTCATTCTCTGACAGCTCCACACTACTCACACACTCACTCACTCACTCACTCACTCACTCACTCACTCACTCACTCACTCACTCACTCACTCACTCACTCACTCACTCACTCACTCACTCACACACACTGACTAACTCACTTCACGCACTCACGCACTCACGCACTCACGCACTCACGCACTCACGCACTCACGCACTCACGCACTCACGCACTCACGCACTCACGCACTCACGCACTCACGCACTCACGCACTCACGCACTCACTCACGCACTCACTCACTCACTCACTCGCTCACTCGCTCACTCGCTCACTCCCTCACTCCCTCACTCACTGACTCGCTGACTCACTGACTCGCTGACTCACTGACTCACTGACTCACTGACTCACTGACTCACTGACTCACTGACTCACTCACTCACTCACTCACTCACTCACTCACTCACTCACTCACTCACTCACTCACTCACTCACTCACTCACTCACTCACTCACTCACTCACTCACTCACTCACTCACTCACTCACTCACACTCACTCACTCACTCACTCACTCACTCACTCACTCACTCACTCACTCACTCACTCACTCACTCACTCACTCACTCACTCACTCACTCACTCACTCACTCACTCACTCACTCACTCACTCACTCACTCACTCACTCACTCACTCACTCACTCACTCACTCACTCACTCACTCACTCGCTCACTCACTCACTCACTCACTCACTCACTCACTCACTCACTCACTCACTCACTCACTCACTCACTCACTCACTCACTCACTCACTCACTCACTCACTCACTCACTCACTCACTCACTCACTCACTCACTCACTCACTCACTCACTCACTCACTCACTCACTCAATCCTCGCTCGCTCGCTCGCTCGCTTGCTCGCTCAACTCACTCACTCACTCACTCACTCACTCACTCACTCACTCACTCACTCACTCACTCACTCACTCACTCACTCGCTCACTCACTCACTCACTCACTCACTCACTCACTCACTCACTCATTCGCACCACTCACTCACTCACTTAGTCATTGAGAACGCGGCGGCATCAATGGACACCGCACATGACAATCCACTTAAGTACGTCTGTGGCGGAGTCCCCGTGTCCGCATCACAACCTGGACGAAGATCCCGTGATGCGATGGCGGGGATGTAAATGTCTTTGGTGTCCCGCCACCAGCTGTTGCGGCTCATGCGCGTGTCTGCGTCCCTTGCAGATAACCATCTCGGCTCGACCTTGCTGAAATGCAACTTGGAGGCAAATTGTGGCGCATATCTATAGGGGTCGTTTTGTTGCAGCCACACGCCTGCGCCATGCCTGCGCGCAGCATTTTAGATTTCGAATCCTTCGCAGGAACCCTCCGAGGTGCAATAGAATCCGTTTGGGAAATAGCCTCTAAAGAGAGAGCTTGCCCTTGTCAATATTGATTCATTATTGACTTTCCGTTGATTAATATTGACGCAACAATGACCTGGTATCGAGCCTGGTATCGAGGCCTCAGCGCCAGCCTGGCATCGAAGCCTCAACGCCAGCCTGTATCTCCTTTTCGGGCCAGCAGCCAGTGTGACGCTTTTGACGGTTTGACGATCGGACTGTCTCAAAACCGTCAAAAATGTCAAAGCGTCACCTCAACGTGTCGAGGCGCTCCAGCCGCTCTTCCACGCTTGCTTTTTCAAGGTTTTTGACGGCTTTTGACACTTGACGCTTTTGACGGTTTTGACGCCCTGTCAGGCCGGCGGTTGGAATTCCGACTTCCGATTTTGCCCCAAAAAACCCCCACTGCCGGGCCACTGCCGGGCCACTGCCGGGCCACTGCCGGGCCACTGCCGGGCCACTGCCGGGCCACTGCGAGCCACTGCCGGGCTACCGCCGAGCGCCAGACTCCGATTGAAGAAAAAAATTGGCAGGTTGTCCCGCAGAACAACCCCTCTGAAAAATTTACTATTAGGGGGGATTGGAAAGTTGAGGCGGGGCGCGCAACAAGTGCAAGTTGCAAGTGCAAGGAGTCAAGTGCAAGTTGCATTGCAATGTCTCCTTGCAATGACTCCTTGCAAGGACTCCTTGCAATGACTCCTTGCCATGACTCCTTGCAATGACTCCTTGCAATGACTCCTTGCAATGACTCCTTGCAATGACTCCTTGCCATGACTCCTTGCCATGACTCCTTGCAATGACTCCTTGCCATGACTCCCCGCAATGACTCCTTGCAATGACTCCTTGCAATGACTCCTTGCAATGACTCCTTGCAATGACTCCTTGCAATGACTCCTTGCAATGACTCCTTGCAATGACTTTCATGATGATGATTCCTTGCAATGACACCTTGTAATGACCATGAGAACAACTCAAGTGAATCCAGCGGAAGAACCCTTCGCCATGCTTTCGGGAAAAAGTATTTAAAAAAAAAAGAAGAAAAAAGGTCCGCAAAAAAGGGGGCCCGAAACAAAAGGGAAAAGGGGTTTCCTTTGGCAAACCTCGACCTTGCTTGAAATGCAACAAATTGCAAGCGTATCTAGGGGTCGTTTTTTAGATTTCGAACCCTTCGCAGGACGAGGTCGTTTCCAGGACGGACAAGTGCAGAACCCTCCCAGGTGCAATAGAATCCGTTTGGGGACTAGCCTCTAAAGAGAAAGCTTGGCCTTGTCAATATTGATCCATGTTGACCTTCCGTCGATTCAAGATAACTCAATATTGCCTCAATGTTGCTTCAATGTTGCCTCAACAATGGCCTGGCATCGAAGCCTCGTCCAGCCTGCAGAGCTCCTTTGACGCTTTTGACAGTTTGACCCTCTGCCAAAGCAAAGCAAATCAGGCCCTGGAATTCCGATTTGACAAGGCGTCAAAACCGTCAAAAGTGTCAAAGCGTCAAAGGTGCCTTGCGGCCGCCCTTTTTTCGGAGATTTTTGGGTCGAGCTCTCCCACACCTGGTTTTTCAATGTTTTTGACGGCTTTTGGCGCGAAGTCGAAATGACCTTGGTTGGCGCGGCTGGAGGCTTCGATGCAACAGGATTGCCCCGGTGCAGCGCCAGCTGCTCGGGCTTGAAACTGTTCTTGTCCGAGCTTGGCGTGATGGAGTCGGCCCTGTTGTGGAAGCAATACAAGCAGTACCGCGATGCCACACTGCCGGCATCGCTCCCTGGACTTACTGCCCGGCTTTCCGTCCTTAATTTGGGAAGAACGCCATGACAAATGGGGAAGATCAAGCTTTTCCCCACGCGCGAACGGATTGAAACAAGTTATGCTAGACACGCCAGCATAGCAAACGTGCCTAACATCATAAAGATGTGATTCAAGAGATCGAAGCCCCAGGCAACAAGTGGCACTGACCTCACATGCATAAAATCCGCCTGATGTGCAGCAGATCTGATGGCACTCAGCTTCGATCCTGGGTCACTCGGAAGTGCAACAATCTGGCTCGCTCGCCGTTTGCCTTTACCGATTCTGTTGGCACGTCATCCAAGTTTGGTGGAGTATTTGTACCTGGCAAAGCTCCCAAGGTTCTTCTGACCAGCAACGCATTTGAACTTCGATTTGATTTCCAACTTAGAACAAGGACCTCCACGCCCAGCTCTCTCTTTAGAGGGAGTTTCCCAAATGGACTCTATTCCACCTGGTAGGCTCCTGACACTCGTCCGTCCAGGAAACGACCTCGTCCTGCGAAGGATTCGAAACCTAAAACGCTGCGCGCAGGCGTGTGGCTGCAACATAACGACCCCGAGATACGCTTGCAATTTGGCTCCAGGTTGCATTTCAAGCGAGCCAACCTTTGCAGGGCTAAGAAAAAACCGAAAAAAAAAAGAAAAAAAAAAGGGTCCCACAAAAGGGGTCCAAAAAAAAAGGAAAAGGGGTTTCCTTTGGCAAAGCGTGACATCGCTTGAAACGCAACCTGGAGCCAAATTGCGGCGCGTGTCTTGGGTGTTTCCGTGCACAACCTGCCAGTAGCTTGTGGTGAAGGGTTCCCAGAAATCGAAATGAATCAAACAGAAACCGTTTTCTTGCTCTGCTACCTACTGATTTAAAAGCATCTTATTGGTAAGTGGCATCATGAACTCAATCCTTCTCCATATACCCAGCTGCTGGTCTAAGGCTGGCAACGTGACGGCCGTTTCACGTACACGCGCTGCACACTTTGGGCAGCACGCTTGGCCCTGGCCTTGGCTGCCTTGGCCTTGGCTGCCTTGGCCTTGGCCTTGGCCTTTGCTTCAGGGGCCATATCCTTCAATTTCCAGGTTTTGCTCAAAGGCGCCACCTGATCATCATCCAGCACAATCAGCACATGCTGGTTGATGGTAATTCCGTCAGCCTTGAGCATAGTGGTCTTGGCAAACATCTTCACCTTCTGGCTCGCTGTTTTTTAAGGAAGCCCAAATTCTCCAAAAAAACCTACAAACTGATTTGGTCACTTGCTTTGGTGCGTCGTCATTCTACCTCCCCAAGTCTCCTCCCAAAACTAAAGTGAGCTTGCCGTCCAAAGGGGTCAGGGCTTTGCTTTGTACCCTCACAAATGTGACTAACAAAAAAAACGTCAAAGGACCCTGGCCTGGGCCCAGACTGGAGGATCATGTTCTGCACACACCTTCTTCAACATCGTGGCGTCAGAGAGCCGGGTCAGTGTGATCTCTGGTTTCTGAACGCATACCACGCTGGGCCCGACTCTCCGCACAATGATGGGCTTGAACTCTCCGTTGCAATGCTTGTACAAGAGGGTGTTCTCCTCTACCCAAAACAGAAACAGAACAACCAATGCAAGAAAATGAACAAACAGTCTTTGTTCGGACAGGCCTCCTCCACAAAGTTGTATTTGTATCCAATCATCGAGCCCCTCTCGCCAGACAGGAACAAGCTGCACCTGTTCATGATCCGCTCCTGGCGCCCCTCCCAAATGCGCACCCAGCTCCTGCTGGGGGGGAACGCGTCGCCCTTCCTCCAAGAGTATTTCACGCACGCTTGTTCCCACCTCAGGGCCATGTCCGAACGATGGGCCGGGCGAAGAATTTGCGACAACGGGCGAGCTGTCAGCCCGGCCGGCGAGCAAGCTTGCCCTGCCACATGCAACTCTCCCTGTTTCCAAAAGCCGCCGCGAGCAAGAGGCCCTCATGTACCAGTCAATAAGCAAACGCTCCAGATGCAACCAAAGCCTATGCAAGCCATGATGCAGCAAGAACAGCCAAGCAACAAGGCAAGACACACACGCAAGAAAAGAAAGAGAGTCGCCAGCTGTTCATGCCTTGTGTTTCCAACACCTCTCACAGGGACATTGGTTTGATGTACGGGTGCTCACCACACGCGTCGGTTTAGTTTACTTTGTGAAATGGCAAGCGTTGGATTCGGGTTCTACTGTAAAACGCAGGCCTACTGCGACCAGGGTCCCACCCACGCATCCATTGCAAACGGAGACATTTCTGCCTGCTAAGATCAACAGGGTTCCACCATTTCTCACAGAGTTCCACCAGCCAATAAAACATCATGATACGGGTTGCCTGTGTGTGTGTGTTGATTGTTTGAGGATACCCATGCTGTCCAATTTGTGGACTTGAGATGCGTTTTGCATTCCCCGGTTTATCCACCCCTGAGCAAGTTTGCTGTCATTAGGGTTCTTGCTGAACCAACCTGAGACACTTTGGGACTTGTTCCTGAAGGGGTGAAGCATTGCCAAAGCCAAAACAGGCTGCAACATCACAGGGCCATCCCAAAACGCAGATATCGAATTCCATATTTGGGAAACAGGCAAAGCCCTACCTCAGTTCACTTGTCTTGGCACCGTCCCTGACGCTTGCCAAAAAAGGGGTGTGAAACAAGTTGATTTGCTTGAGCCTTTTCTAGCATGTTTCCACCAGCCAACTAAGCATAATAATAATGGTTTGCCAAAGGAGGTTGCAAGAAAAAATCAAGTTGCCCGACCCCTAACAGATCTCCACCTGCCATATCTTGATGATAATATGTGCTTCCAAAAGGGGGTGAAGACATCGATTTTTCGACCCACTTTTCTGTAACCCTCAACTGGCCACACCGACGATATCCCGCAAAAAACACTCCTGCCTAAACATACAGTTAATGCTGACACGCACTTCTTTTCTTGGCGCACAGCGTCCACGGGTTAAAACAGCCTCCACTCTGCAACCTGCTACGCATGTTGTCTGAAACACAATTTTATAGATCTATAAGTTTCTAAACTGGGCACAACCAAGAATCTTATCAATCTATAGGGTTGCCACGTGAGGGAGGTATCAGACAAGGCTTCCAGAAATGCAGCCGTATCAAATGATAAAACTCCTGGCAGGCGACGGGGCAAACCCTTATCATTTGATAAAACCTTGGATTGGGCGGTTCTTTCATCAATCACCCCTTTGCATGCCATCAGCTCTTGGCACAGCTTGCGCTGGCGCCCGAAAAACAGCCAGTCTAGATGCGCGTGGGGTGCTCGTGGTCAGCAAATTCTGGGCGATCCGATTAACGAGTCAGAGTTTCCTGAGTTGCTGATTTGCTGACTTGACCACTTAAAAGCCCCCGTGCGCTTGCAGGCACCATGTTTGCTTTGGCATTCAGAATGTTCTAGCAGGCCATGCCAGGAGAGCTTTGTATCTCAAGAGAAGACCTGGTCGCGGCACTGTGCCCGCTGTTGCCCATGCTCGCAGATCGCCGCGCCGCCGCAGTCGTGGCACTGACGTCGCAGCCGCCCGTGCTCACAGACCGACGCTCCGCCGCAGTCACGGCACGTCCGTCGCAGTCGCCTATGCTCGCAGATCGACGACCCGCCGCAGTCGCGGCACTGAGCCCGCAGTCGCCCATGCTCGCACATCGACGATCCACCGCAGTCGCGGCACTCAGCCCGCCGTCGCTTGTGCTGACAGATCGACGCGCCGCCGCAGTCGTGGCACTGAACCCGCCTCCGCCCGTGCGGGCACTTCTTCTCAGGCCGGCGCACAGGTGCCATCGCTGAACACTCTCGGTGTGTTTTCTTACACGTCCCGGCGAGCGGCGACGCAAATGAACGCGCCAGAATAGAGGCAGCTGTGTAGGTGCCGAGTTGTCTAAAACCCACAGGCGCCAGCCCGCCCGCCGCGGCAGAGACTACCGGAGGCCAGCAGGATGAACGCACCGCCGCGCTGCGGCTTCAAATTTGGGAAGTAAAGGCAAGAGAACAAATGGGGAAGATCAAGCTGTTTCCTACGACAGAGTATACCAGTAAGCAGCCCTCGGACCCCGTCATGCCCCTGGTCCCATGCACAGGTATCTTCCTCGGCCCCAGCAAGTCCGGCAAAACCGTGGCGCTGATCAGCATGATTCTGGAGCAATATCGCGGAGTCGAAAATCTACATCTTCAGTCCCAGCGTGAACATCGACGACAGCTGGATCCCCGTCAAGAAGTACATCGAGCAGGTCCTGGGGCTGAATACCGAACGATGCCCAGCGTCAGCCCCCATAAAACGAACTGGCGCCGCGCTGATGCCTTGCACGTGAACACCACGCAAGTTTAAACCTCTGCCATTAAACGCAAAACCATTCCTTTCCAGGGGCTGTTGGTCACTTAAGACGATGCTTGTCTGTTAACAGCGCACATTCAAGACCAAAACAATCAGCATTAGTGGACAAGATTCGCAGTGCCATTTTGCCCGCGCCGTCGCTGTGGGCGAACACAAGGGCGGCATTCCAGTAAGCGCAACTTGATTTGCCTTACAAACCCGCCGCACCTCTGGTTGAGTACCGAGCCACATTACTGCTGACGGCATCGATCCTATGTTGGGGAGCGTGCTTGGAGTGGCAAGGAAAGAAAAAGAAAATAGTTTGAGGCACTTGCGCCTTGTGTCTATTTGTTGACGGGAGCAGGCTTACTACGACGAGTGGGACAAGGCAGCGCTGCGGGGCATCATCCGAGGCAGCGCAAGATCACCGAGACATCCAAGAAGTTGGAGATGAAGAAACTGTACCAGGTGCTGATTATCCTGGACGACTACAGATAGCCCGCAGCTCCACAAATTTTACGGCGTCCTGGACACACTCTTTATCAGAGGCAGGCACATGCATCAGCACCTGGGTGAGCTCCCAGAAGCTGAGGCTCATCAGCGCAGCCGTGCGGGTGAACATGCAATTTCTCTGCTGCTGGAGGCTGCGCAACCAGCACAAGCTGGACGCCGTCATCGAAGAGCTCAGCGCCCTGCTGCCGAAGGACAAGCTGCACAAGATCTACGAGCAGGCGACCCGGGATTCCTCTACTATCTAAAACCGAAGAATCAAATGTTCTACACACCGCTCAGCTTCCTGGGCCAGAAGCTGTTCGCCAGCAGAACATCTCCTGCTGCACCTCCGTTGCAGCCGTCACCCGCCTGTCGTCCGAAACACGCGGCTTCCTTAGAAAAAGGATGACGACTATCTACGTGGACAGCCGCAAGAGGGTAGCCGGCTCTGACAGCAACTTCAAGGTCGACCTGGGAGAGCCCCTGCACCTGCAGAGCGACACCGGCTGGCCGTCTACAAGATCAGAATTGCCCTGAAGGCGCCTACACCGGCCCCGTCTGGCCGCCTGGATCAGCTCCAACTTTGCCACAGCCACCTACAGCAACCCGCCCAGTTCTTTGTCAAGAACGTCCGAGAAGTCGGAGATTTTGGTCACGGTACGCGTGTTGGACGCAAGAGCTGGCGCGTGTCCGAGCTTGTCACGTCGCCGCACCCATGTTGCCCGTCGGCACTCCGCCCGTGCCCGTGAGGTGCAGTCCAGGCTCTCGCAGTCCAGCGGGCCCGTGGAGCCTGCCCTGGCGATGGTCAAGGCTGTCAGCGTGCTTACACCAACCTATTAATTTTGGTTTTTTGGTCCCCAAACCCTGCAAAACAGCCAAATTCTCCATCCAGCTGAACGTTTTTCCGATGTCACCGGTCTTTGTCACCGCTCCGTTTTTGGTGCAAAAAGCGCTCAAAACGGTCAACTCCGAAAAGTTCGTTTTTTCGTGTCAGCGTCAAAGTGGTGCCTGAGCTCCAAGTTCGCTCGGTTTCCCCGAAAACCGGCTCCAGACGTTCGCCGTGCTCGAATTCCGTTTTCTGCCCGAAAAGCTGCGAATTCTAGCGCTTTCACCGCTTTGTCACCGCTCGCTTTTTGGTCGCAAAAGTGCGCAAAACTGGGCCCAGTTCCCGAGCTTCTAAGTCGGGTTTTTCGCGGCCGACAGCCCGCCGAGGACCAGGCTCAGAGCCCGACAGCCCATGTCACGCTCCGTCCGGCTCCGTTTTTTGGTGCAAAAAGCGCTTAAAACGGTCACATCCAAAGAGTCCGTTTTTTGTGTCAGACTGCAAGTGGGATGCCTAAGCCTCAAATTCGCTTGTTTTTGTCGAAAGCGGCTCCAGATGGTCACTTTGCTCAGTTTTTCCGCTTTTGGCCCGGAAAAACCGGCGAATTCGCCAAGCATGTCACCACTTGTTACCGCTTCGTCACCGTCGTCACTGGGCCGAAAAGTGCGCAAAAGGCTTGGAAAAGCGAAACCAGCTCCGCACCAGAGTAAGAATTCCACTTTGCTTCGGGCCTGGTGCGGGCCTGGTGCGGCCCTGGTGCGGGCCTGGTGCTTCCTTGCAGCCTGCCAAGGTCTTGGCAACCTGCCAAACTTGTCCGCCTTTGTCACCGGTCTGACGCGGCAACCTGCAAACATATTTGTCGCCTAATGCCTCTGCCGAACGCCTTTGTCACCAAGTCTAACACGGCACTCCGAACTATTGAGCTCCTGACAAAGAGAAGGCTGCTAGCGCTTGAGCCTGCAAGGTGTCAATCCTGTCGTCAGCCCAGAATTGCTTCACTTAATCTGTCGCCAGCGCAGGATTGCCCCGTGCACTACCAGCAGCTCGGACTTGGAGCTGTTCTTGCCCGAGCACAGCCTGTGATGGGCTCCTGCTGTGGAGCTCCTAGGCCTTAGGCACTGTTGTTCTACGAGAAAGGCAGATGCCATAGTAGTTCATGCTGCAACCTGGAAGATGTGGAAAATTGGCATAAAGGGCTTGTTGGGGCGCCTGGCGAGCAGAGCGCGCAGTAGGCCA